AAAGCTATAGTCCAGGCAATGGCCTCGTTGATAAGACCAGAAAAACGCAACAAGGACAACTGCAACTGACTGTGAAAACATTCGGACTGGCGCCTTTTTAATTTATATTTACACTATATCTGCATTCGAATGCATGGCACAAGCTCATGCGAGAAATAAACAAATATATGTGCCACGGGATATATCTCCTCCCATAAGTCTTAGCAACTGGAAGTGAAAAAAACAGGGAGAAGCCAGAAAATATATGGCAAAATATATGGTAAAGCGCCACCAGATGTCGGATTCGGCAGGAAATCTCAAAAGTACAGAACGAGATTTTTGTTTCTGAGAATTCGATATTTGACAATAAATTATTTTAAAATGTGGGCAATTGCGAAATGAGTTCAAAAGACTGATGCTGAAAATATCTACCAGGAATTCCGTATTGTCGCCATCTTATCTATTTGTGTCCACATTTCTATATCCTCGACAGAATTAGCATTTCCCTTTTTCAGCGCACAAGATCAAGGATCAACCGCTTACGGCACTTGACAGCCAGCAGGAACCGCAAAAAGGAGCTCAGCAGTGGTGGAAAAGGGGGATGTCACCGAGCAAGTGTCAGCGACAACCCTGCGCCATTCTGCACAACCCTAGACCACCCCCTGAATTACCCACTTTCTCGCCAGCTCCTTTAAGACCAGCGAGTTTCTCCAGTAGCCACTTGATGACTGCCAGCAAGTTGACACTAATCAGTTTAGCTTTAGCCCGACGCAGACAACTTGATTTGCATACACAAATGTACGGGGCTGGGAAACGGGGGGGTGGAGTGCGGAAAGTAGGGAGCGGAGGTAGTGAAAAAGGGCTGGTGGGAAAACCACTTAAGCGGGCAACTAGCCACACCTAAACAGGCCGTCAGTCAGCGAGTCAGCTGGGAAAAAAATAATAAAAGGAGAGGCGGTGAATTTTCCTCAGCCAGCACACACTTAACCCCCTTTTTCTAGCCCATTCTTAACCCGCTTCTTGGTTCTTTTTTTCTTACCCCTTTTTTGTAGTCTCCCCCACAAAATGGCAGCCAAAACAGGAAGTAATCTATAGTCGCTCCGCCATTGTTTATTGTTTAATTTTTAGTCAACGTTGTTGCTGCTGCTGCTGCCGCTGTTGCTGTTGCTCAACTTTTGACTCCGGCCAAGTCTCCGTTCTGGTTATGCCTGCTTCCTGTTCATCCTGCGTCCTTCGCCCTTCGTCCTTCGGCGTTCGTCCTTTTTTTTTTGCCGCCCATCAGGCCAACTTGCTCTTCGTTTTCTTTGCCCATTCCTTCTTGTATTATTTCTATTGTTAACAGTTTTTGCATTCGCCGCTGCAAGTAGCGAAAACTTTTCACAATGGACCTTTGTTACGCCCCCAACCCCTTTTTTCCGCCCACCACCCCCCTTAACTGCCCTGCCTTTCAACGATGCCACTTGAGCACTACAAAGGCAACAAAAAAAAAGGGAGAATAAAGGGGACTCCGAGGGGTTGAGCGCAACAGCAGACAAAGACGTCCCGAAATGCCAAAGACGAAGACGTTGACAACGGCGGCAGCCTTGCACCCCAAACAGCCCCAAACCACTCACAACTCCATCCACAACACCACCCACTAGCCCACCCCCCAAAGTCATGACACGCCCGTATCGCATTTACTCGGATTTCGCTTTATCGGAGCGGCAAGGAAAACAGCAACGTGCCGACAACAACGTCACCCAGTTTCCATGGCATCAACATATCTAGTTTTTCTTTCTTTTTTCCGTACACAGGAAATAAAACTGGAGCTTGCATCAGGCTAAAATAAACATTTAAATGTCTACGTCCAAGTTCATAGTACTTTCTTAAGAGTTTCGAGAGATTTGAAAAGCTTATTTAATGTTTATTTGTTAAATATCTATATGATTATTATATTAATTTAATATTTAATCATTGGCTTTTATTATTTTCTTGTCAATTAGGAATTTGGTTATCATAAGAAACGTTGGCAGACTTTTAACCTCTAAGAGAAAATTAATTATACTTATTAGCTCCAAATTAAAATAATATTTAAAACGTTGTAATTATTTCCTAATACTTATTGAACCTCTTTAACCATTTTCTAAACTTCTATTTATTTGCTAAGAAGTTATTATAAAATATATCGTAGAATGATGAGCATTTTTCCTAGTGTTTTGCCTTGTTTCCAAAGTCATATTCTCTTCTTTTAACAATATGCTTTAGTTAAGGCAAATGCCATATAATTGCGTTGCGGTGAAAAGAAACAGCAACTTCTACGGCAGTAAACATTCACAAGAGCAACATCTAAAGCAGCTATGCTCAAAATAGAATATCGATTGCCAAAGTTATTCCTTCCTTCTAATTATTCCAACTTTAATCCCAATTTTTTAAGTATTAAGAAAAGTAGTTTGACTAGTGCATCGCCATCTAAAAAAAAACTTAATTAATTCAGGAAAAATCAGTTAATTTACATAGTTTACTTCTGCCGGTGTCACATAATGATCGGATAACTGTCAGTGAAACCCGCTCATTAACTCAATCCTTTTTTTTTTTTTGTAATTGATTCCCACACTTTTTTCATTTTGCTTATTTACTGACCACGGATGGAGCAGGTTATTTTTATTTTTTAGACCATAGTTGAACATTTTTTTTTTTTTGAGTTGTAAGCTCTTATTTAAGAGCTAGCAAATAAAATATTTCACACTGCATAACTACTTATAAACATTTCACCACATGTCATTTAATTTAAAGGGACTTCTGCAAGGGCATTTAAAACTTCGGACTGCCGAAGAATACTTTTTGCATTGGCAGCTTAAAAAATATATATACATATATATTTAACGGAAAAAGTACATAATTAAAATACGGAAAACGTAAGAAGGAACGAAAAAACCTGATGGATAAATTTGCATTATAAATTGTTTGTAAAGAATTTTCTGTTCTTCCTAAATTTTTTGTTTTACTTTTATGAAACTTGGATTTGTTTCCTTCTTTTTAATACAGATTTTTTTTATGTTGGAGCGGATGGATGGATGTATGCGTGTGGATGTGTGTGTGTGTGTGTGATTGGGTGAGTTTTTTGTATTTGGAAAACATATAAACAAATGGCTTAGACGCAGACAATTAGGACATATAGGGATACGTTTGGGGGTTTTGTAGGGATGGTTTTTTTTCTTTTCTTTGTTATTTTTTGAGTGATAACATATAAGGATATACAGATATTTTCTTTCGTTTTACTTGCATTTTTTATTAGATTTGATTGGTTCTTTCTTTGTCTTTGTTCTGCTGCTGACCTTTGGGTATTGATTTTATTTTATTGGATGGGAAACCTAACGAGTTTCTGTTTTTTGTATACTTAATTCCTTCGTTTGGTTAACAAAACATCAACAGAGATTTAAATCGATACGGAAACTGATAAAGTGATTCACATTTGATGAGATTTGTTTATCATAAAAAGCTTTGATCAAAAATCAAACGAAAACAAAGAAACACGTAAGAGATCAAGAGATTGAGAGAGATGAGGGAGGAAATCGGTGGAGTTTCGTTGATGGAAAATCAAAATAAGGATAAAATAACGATCAGGGGAACGATTTTTGGTGACAGACACATAGAAAAAGTGAGAAAAGGTGGTGGAGAATTGGAGAACCTCGGGAAAAATCAACCATAATTCAGCTTAAAATGCTTACATGCCAAACTATGAGAAAAGTAGAGGGAAAAAATTATAACATAAATATTTCGATGACTTTCGTTTTGGGTAATCGGTTAGTATGAGTGTTAATATCGCTGGTTGATTGGCAAAAAGGAAAAACACAAATCGGAAATCAAACTAAATACACATATAGACACGGTACACATAACACATACAATTATTTATCTATATATATATATATGTGGATATATATATCGAGATTCTGTCATCTTGTCCTATAAAGTATGCCAACGAAAAACGATGAAAATTAATATGGAAATAAATATGAAAAACATACTCATGATATGCATGTATTTGTTATTTTTTTTCATTGCGAGTGTGCGTGCTGGTGTATTGTTGAGATAAAAAATTATGAATGCATTTTTTCGTTGAAAATTTGTATTTTTTTGTTGACTTCAATCTTCTTGTTGTTATGTTTTATTTACATGAATGATTTGTTGACTTTTCGATCTCTGTGTTTTTGCGGTTCCCGGTTTTTGTGTGCGTTAAAATGTAATTTAAAATCAACAAAATGGCATTATATGCAAGGGTGGTGCGAATGGGGCAAGTGCTGGTAAGATTATAATGCAATTATAGCCGTGGGGCATTTGAATGCAGAACAACAATTTGGGGGAAAAAATTCAAAAGTCAATTGCAGGCTTCTCGAAGATATTTTTTTTTGCGCTTTTTTTTTGGTATTCAAATTGAAGGATATTCTTTAAGTTCTCCAAAGAAAAAATTTTTGTAAATAAGTATGAAATATTTATTTGATTTTAAATTTCTAAAGTCAAATTTTATCTGTTTTCAAAGATTGATGTTAGTTTGTTTTGATTCTTCATAATTAAAACATTAACATAATCTAAAATAAGCGCTTATGAAATTCAATATAGGTTTTAAAGACATGAAAAATAGCATTTTCCATAACAGCACCTGCAACTGATTTAAGACGGGAAGATATTGCCGATAAAGGAGAGATCGGAAAAGGAGTGATGAGAGATGTCACCTACTTTTGTTAACCAAAAGGTCACGTGTGTGTGATTTTATGGATGCATTTTACGGAATAAAAACCGAAAACGATAAAACAAAAATCGATGCATTCTGTAGATGGATAATTGGATTCGATGGATCAATGAATCGATGGATCTTTTGGATGCTTGGATGAGGGGAACATAAAATCCAGAATCAACTGAAGAAGATGCGACTGTTACAAAAATTTTTGTTTTGGTTTTTCTTTTCTGTTTTAGAGTACCCAAAAATTGTACGCCTGTGTTTCCTTTTTTTAAGTGTTTTATTTTTTTTCTTTTTGACTTACCAAGGTGTGAACGAGCTCCAGAAGAGACTACAAATTCACGGGTTGAAACGTAGGATTTTTATTTTTTTTGAGATTTTTTTTGTATTTTGATTTGCATGTGGGAAATGCATTTTGATTTGGATTTGATTTTTTTTGGTTTTTTAGTTTTGGTTTAGCACACAACATGAAGGTATCGAGCCACAGCAACAGAGTAGGACAGTACACAATTAATTGACAGGACAATAAAAAAGAAATCAAAAGACAAAAATGCGTTTCGTTAACGAATTGATCAAACTTTGATATTGCTTAACAATTGGTAAAAATTTTTTGTTTGGTTTTACTTTTAGCATACCTAAGGTGGAGATTTGTACTTTCATAGCTTAGTGAACAAAAGAGATACGAAACGGAAATGGAAACGAAACATAAACATAAACAACACGCTGAGAAAGTAACGAAAATTAACACATTTGACGAACACACTTAGTCGGATGATGAGACGAAGACGAAGACAGATACGGAGACGGAGATCGGCAGACATCTTCAGGGCTTGACTGATATATCATCTTGGTTGGTTTAGTATGGTTAGTTGGTTAAATGCGTAACGGAAACGGAAATGGAACAGAACGAAATGAAATCGAAATCGGAAATCGAGAATAACGGGAAAACGGGGGAATCAAAATCAAACGAGTAACTCAAAATCAATTTCGCTCATCGGTCTTCCTCAGTTTTTTTGAATCCTCTCCTCTTCATCATGGCATCGGCGTGGTTGTTATCATTTTTTTTTTTTTTTTTTTTTTTTTTGGGGTTTTTAAATAAGAATTGAAATCATAGCAATAACTCAAGACATACGCTATATAGGTTTTATATTGATATACAATGACAGACTATACTTCGCTTAAGAAACCAAACGAAAGCAAATCAAATATAAAGTTAACTATCGATAATGTAGCTAGGTCTGGTCTTAGTTTCACACTCGATCTAATCGATCACTTACTCATCGATGGAGGCCTAACTTAGGAAGATTTTTTATATCATTTGTTTTGGTTATTTTTTATATTTTGTATTTTTTTTTGTGGGTAAGACGAACACAAGGAGGTTTTACACTAGACAACACACATACTCAATGAAGTGCTATCATTATATTTCGCTTTTATCGTAATGTTCTCATCAAATAGTTCTGATTTTTCTTGATCCATGTAGAGTTCGAGAGAATGACAGAAATGAGGCGGCAGAAAGGAATGGAAATTAAATAAAAAGCAAAGGGATCCTCGTCCCAAAAAAAAAAAAACAAAAGAAAATATACTGAAGACAGTAAGTACATTCTTTTTTTTTTGAGAAAATTATGGAAATATATATTATTTTCGGGTTTTTTCGCGCTGGAAGTAGTCATCATCAGCGTTTGATTTTTCTCATTGGCTTGGCATTTCCCAGGCGGGCAAGAAAAGAAAAAGCTCAAACTAGGAAAATGTCATTTCGTTTCCTCTTCTTTTTTTTTGTGGTGGGATAAATCAGGAGAAATAAGGATCAACAAAATGTAAATAACCAAACGAATCGAAATGGAACGGTGGGGAAGAGAACTCAGAGGAACAAGAGAAAAAAAACTTTGAAAATTCAACATTTTGACTTGAGATTCTCACATTCTCATCTCAATATTCTTTTTTATTTATTTTTTTTTCAGCGCATAAATGATAGACTCATTGAGGGGAGAGAGGCGTTCGGGATTGTGGGAATGTGAATGGGTTTAGATTTTCATTTCTTTTGCTTCTTCTTGAATTTTCTTTTTTGGACTGATTGATTGATTGAGACTACTGGCAGTGTGTTTAGTTGTAGTTGGTATAAAACATAAACAGTTTTTTCTTTTTTATTTTTTCGCAAAGCGTAACGTAAAATATATAGCATATATGTATATATAGCTGGTTAGATGGGCCGCATGGTATCTGGTTATATACACATATATACGCATCATATAGAATAAATTTGAGCTTTTTCCCTTCATTGCACCCGTAAAAGCTTAAAGAATACACACACAGAACCGAAAACGGAAAAAGTTCAAACGCAATTCCAATGAAAAATTTCTCAATCGCAGACCGAAACGTCTTCGAATATATATTTTAAGGATATATGCGGAGAACGACCGCCGTCTGCAACTGAAAAACGGAAATAAAAAGATCGAACTAGAAACCGAAAAGATTTCAACTGAGGAAGGTAACTCAAGAGTCGCTCAATGGCAGGCCCTCTCACAAGTGGTCATTTGGGCAATCCCTGCGCACTAAGAGTCAGACGCATACGTATGTGGTTTATATAGGCTATATATATATATATATATATGGTATTACATATGGGGGCGCTACGTGGTACGGCTTAATTCTAAATCGAATCACTTACTTTTCGCTGTACTCGTCCATGTGGGCGTACGACTGCACCGAGTTTTCCTCGATCAGGAACTTGACCCTCTGGTAAAAGGAGGCCGTCACCGAGGGCGGCTGTTTCCGGAGCAGGACCTCCACGGGATCGTTGGAGGACAGGCACATGATGTGCTCCGAGCAGGCGGGATGTGAGCAGCACTCGCTGTCCGAACAGTCGGTCATGCCGTCTACACACAGGGTGCGAAAACAAAACATTATCCGTTATCACTTTGCAAAGTACACTACAGTTTATTTAAACTTTTGACAAAAAAAAATATATATTTTACCCGTTCTTAAATAACTATTTAAAAATAATTTCTATCGGAACCACAGTGAATTACTATTGTTTTCTCTTCGATTATTTAAGGCACGTCTTTAAAAGTACCCTTTACTTTGTCTAAGTCAATTAATAATTTTATTAAATCATTTTCAAAGAATATTCTCTGTAAAGATTTTATTTTGATTTGAAAACCCCATCTTACCGCCATCATTGTCGATATTATCCTTGCAATTCAGTTCCAGTGCGATGGAACAGTCGCTTCCAGCCCATCCCTCAATGCAATCGCAACGGTATTCGCCATTTTCCAGGGTACATTGTCCATGTCGAGAGCAACCATTTTCGCAGCCAGCTGAGGGTAGGTGTTAATTGAATTAATATATTCAAATTATTAACAATCAATTTAAATGTTTAATTTACTTTTTAGGACAACTTAAGTACCGTCTTTCGTTTATTTATAAGAAATATTTATACTTAGCAATAATACTGAAAATCTTTTTTAAAAACAATTTTTATATAGGTGAGTGATTTAACACGCAATCTATTCGCCTTTTGTGCGGCATTTTATTTAACGGGCTGAGATTTTTGTGCCAAATGGTTTGCTGTAATTAAGAGTTAACTGTCCGGATCGAGTGGCGCTTCAAATTGAATGATAACACCCGAGACCGGGCCCATCCATTGCCGTTTCCACAGATATTTCCATTTAAAAACCCAACCTCAACCCAGATGCCGGCAAACTGCGAGTCAACATCATGAATATAAAAATAATGTTGATGTTTGCTCTCACTCTCAGTGGCAGTTAACCTTTGGCAGAACACTCGGCGAAATGTTGGGTAAACATAAAAGCCCAACGAAACGTAACCTAACGATAGATGATTTGGCCCCATTTTGACGTTCTTTTTTTCGGGCTTTATTTGTTTGTGCCACGACAGCATTTGACGCAAAGTTAATGTCACTTGACATGTGTCATTTGCGAAATGGGGTAAGGTAGCGCCACCCCCTCTTAGAGCCCCCTTTTTATTTTTTTCTTTCTTTTTTTTTGGCCTTTACACCCCGTTTTGATGGGGAAAAGGGGAGAAAGGGAGGAAAGGGGGCTGCTAACTCAGCTTCCGGCATGTTAAAAAGTTTGCGGCGCATAAAATGACTTCCCTGGTTGTTACTGCCTTCCTGTTTACGAGTCGCCCCCCTCTCTTTCTTTCGCAATCGTGCCGTCTCTTTCGTTGAGTGCGTGTTTGTGTGCACATATTGGCAATAACTTCAAGTGGTCTTGCAAATATTGAACTCTCAAGACGGCAGCAGGGGGCATATGTCAAATCTGTTGACTGGATTAGTCCTCGTACCTTGAGAGCTGTAAAAATTCCAGCGAAATGACCAAATTTACTGCGCACAAACTGGATTTAAGTTCAAGAAACAAAGTCAAAATAAGAAAGACTATTTATAACTTAAACGGGTTGAGACATCTTGACACAAAATCTATTAGAAACCAATACTATTGATTTCAATTTTTAAATCAAAAGAAGAAATGATATATATACATATAAATTCTAGGTTTAAATGCCCAAAATTATATAAATAAATATTTATATAAATAAAAGCCGGTTTACTAACCCCATGTTTATTGTTTTCGCAATCCGCATCGAATTCATTTTTAACCTCATATTTTGCCATTCATATTCCCATTAGGTATTTTTTTAAGTTCAAGTTGGCAAGCCGTATTATTGCCTTTATTTGTATTTAACACAGCAGTGTCTGCAGGTTTTTCAACAACCAATTTGAACCCTCCCCTTTGGCTTTTCCACCCCCTGCAAAGCTTATTTCTCCTCTATTTTATCACTTTCGGAGTACAAATCCCTCGTTTTTTATGCCTGGCCATTCAAAAAAATGTTGTAATCTCCCCAAACACACTTCTGCACATATTTTACAATCCATAATAAAATCCCAGCAAGTATAAAAAAAAAAAAACAGGAAAAGCGATGGGAAAAACATAGTAAATATTTGAATGAGACGGCGGGTGATAGAAAAGGGAATAGAAATGGCAGATGGGTGTTTTTGGGGAGACGACCAAACTAAATGTAACTACGACATCAAGTATGCATGTGGCTTTTGGGGTGTCTGTGCCCCTACAAAAACCTCCCAAAATACACCTCCTCCTCCTCCTTTTTCGCCCCTGAAGAGGGCCAATTGAGTGGAGTTTTCGGTAGCGCGTAATTCGCTGGAAATCTCTGTTTCGAATTCAATCAACTCTGCCGCATTGAAGTAGCCTGCCGACTGCAGTTCAGCTGAAAGGTCTAATCTGTGTAAGGCCCCTCCCCCTTTGGATGCGCCCCTTTTGATTTCGCCTAAACAAACTCTGACTGTCTATTTGGCAATTTTTTAGCTAGAAAGAAACTATTTGCAGGAGTCTCTTTGAATGGTTTCATGTTATTTTAATATTTGGCTATTGTATTTTTAGCGGTATTCGTTTTAAGGGACATAATCAAATGTTGAAAATAATTTATGTGCTCAGTTATGAAAACAACTATGAGTTTTTATACAGAATAAAAAAATCTACAACAACAAAATGTAATTTCAAGCCTATTTATTACTAATATTTATTATTAATCTTGTCATAGCCATACATAAACTTAAATGATTATTTATATTGTGAAACTTCAATTTGAATTTATGGTTTTAATAGCTAATAGTAAATACTAATAAATTATAATGTGTTTTTTTTTGGGTCAAAAAAGCTTCAAGTCATTTATAAAATCTGCAAAGTGCCGGTTTTAATTTAAAAGGTCGATCAAAACTATTCCTTTTTAGTAAGTCATTGATGGCAGCACTGAGGAAAAGTCGTTAAGTACATTCTAAACATACAAAACCGAAAGCCAGACACAGATACCATATGTTGGATGTGTTGGTGCGACGTCTAAGGGGGGCCCCCCTTTGGCGCGCCCCTCCCTTTTCGCATATGCGGCACTTGAATCGATGGAAAGAGTGTTTCCCGGGGGACACAAAGAGTGTTTCGGAGCGGGGGCTATAAGATTGCTTGTGACTCTGAATGACGTCGGAAGTTTTATTGGCTTTGCACACGTCAACGAAATGCTGATCGCGGAACTAGGGGGCGGTTTTAACCCCCTTCTTGGGCAGGGGGGGTCGTAATGCCATTACATGCATGCCTGGCGTGCCAAACGCCGCCGGCAGGGGGCGCCACACGGTTCAATGTTTTTGTAACATGACTGTTTGTTTTTAAAGTTTTAATCACTGTCAATCGATAGCTACTTATCATGCTGCAGTGCCTGCCTTTCGCCTCCCGGAAAAAGTCGTATCCTGCTGCTGGTGCTCCTTTCACTGATGTTGTTTTTTGGTTGCCTCAAACAACATGGTTAAGTCATGGCGGCAAAACTGTCAAACGCACTTCCAGCCAACAAAAAAAAGGAGGAAAATCGCAAGGAGGGGAAAATGGAGTTGGAAAAACCATTGGATATGGCTCAAAATTCCCTAAAGAGGGGGCGAAAATCAAAGGGTTTTGGGATGGAGAAATACTGAAGTGAAGAGCAAATGGCGTAAACATTTACAAAATACTTTGGTGCATCGACTCCCAGAATGAAAAAAAGCCCGAAAAAAAATGAATTGATAAAAGCACGACAGCAACGTTGCCAAATAGGAAAAAAAAACAAAACTTAAAAAACATCCGCGACAGCAGCTACATTGACAGTGGGCGGGGACGGTATCCGAGGGGCGTGGCAACTGCAGTAAAGGCTTCAAAGTTGCTGTTGCAAAGTAACTGGCGGTATTGCATAGATTTCGGCAACCGCCAACAAGAAAATCGTACAAAGTTAAAGTAAGGTTCTTCAGGCTTGAAGGATTTTAAAACTAGAATAGTCTTTGTTGAATGTTTAAAAGCATTTTTAAATAAAATCTATAGTTTAGTGCCAAATCTAAATGGAATTCCATACATTTATACGATGTGTTTACCCGTGTAATATTGCTTTTGAAAACTTTTGTATATTTTTCAAATATTTAAAACTTCTTCGTTTCTTGTATAGCATAAGTTAAATTAATTTATTTTTGGGTAAAAATTACTAAATCGAAATTTATTTAAGTAGATTTTGAATGATATCTCTATTTACAATCCAATTTCCTTTTTTGAACGTGACTATAGAAATTATATGTTTTTGTATGTGTTTTAATCCGGAAGTGAAGTTCCAGTCTACTTACGCAGCGTGCAGTGACGGCCATTCCATCCTTGGGAGCAGACACAGGTGCCATTTTTGCATTGGCCATGTTCCGAGCAGCGGGAATCGCAGGGCAGTTGGTCGCACAGGTTGCCAGTCCATCCGGAATTGCAGCGGCATTTTCCGGACTCACACACTCCGTTCCGGCCGCAATCCAAACTGCAGACGGCTGGACAAAACAAGTAAATAATGAAATGAAATACTATTAGCATGATACATCTATCATTCCTAAATAAATCATGTAACTCTCAATCATTTAAATAAGATTAGTTTTTAATTTTAAGCGAGTAAACTCTTTAAAAGAATCTAATTAGATGAAAAGCCATTAACGTAAATGGTGTCACCATTTTCTGGTTAGCTATTCTTTCTAACCAATTTTCATATTTGTCCATGTGCGCATTTAAATTCATTAAAGCTCCTGTGCCACAGGGCCCTCCACGTAAAGTGGCCGGAGTGAAAGGCGGTCGGGTGGTGTTGCGAGCCATAAAAACAGCATTATAAATGTTACATTTACGTGGTGGCACACTTTGCTAACAATACCCACACTGCCACACCATTTCCATTTGCAACCACCGCCCCCTCACCCACGCGCTTTACTTTTCCGGAGATGTCGCTTTTCCTCTCGTCCCGACTGAGGGATTTTCCCGGCGAATGGTCAACTGTTCTGGTTCATGAGTTGGTTCATAGGTTGGTTGTACGATTACTTCATGGGTATTGATTCAGCGAACATGACTTGGTTGGCTTTTCTCTTTTGGCTTTTAAAAAATATTGCGGCTCAGCAGCAATTTAAGAAAAGATTTAGAAAATATCAGTGCTTAAAACTTTATCATACATTTATACGTATGACAAACTTTAAATGAGTTTTAAGGCCATGCTTACTTTGCAGATTTCTTACTATGCTAACTATTTTAATAAGTAAATATTCTCTTGCATTTTATTATTTTGTAATGCATTTACTCATTTCAGCACTATACTCTTAAACAAAAAAGATCCCAAATCAGCTATCAAAAAAAAAAAAAAATAATGATTTCATGTCTTATTTAAGCTCTTGTTTTGCCAAGAGTTTTGAATTGTAAATTTTTCATTGGATTGGTTTAGGGAAATCTTTTGTATTCCCACTCTGCCCCCAGCTTTAATTTATGGTTTAGTTCATAATCTCACTTTTTGGGGGTTGCTTCACGGCCCCATGACTTTTGTTAGCAGGCGTAAATTTATTTTATTTGCTTTTGTGGAAGCTGTATGAAAGGCAGCAAGAGAGACAGAGATAGAGAGAGAGAGAGCAGTGCCACAACCTGCGTATTAAATAAATAATGAATTTTTATGAGACTCTGCTTCATTACGCCAGGAGGAGTCGTCAACGTGGCGGTCCAGGTCCACCTTTATATATATACTATAGTATGCAGCCCAATCCACTCATTTTCCTCCTTCTGGTGCTAAAAAGTTAAGCAAATTAGGAGTACGTGTCCTTTGGCCTTCGGTGGCATCGTAAGCTGCTTGTTTTATTGAGCTCCTGCCACTGCCATTGCCCCTGTCCCTGTTTCTGTACCTGAATTTCCACCGATTCCACTGCTGATTCCGGATGATTATGAACTCATGGGCCGTGGGCCTAATTGGAAGTCCCGGCTTTATGGCTCAGCATTCCATTCTAATTTCGGGTTTAGTTGTGGCCATAAAACATCATCATATTCCAACGGAGTGGCATCGGAGTGGGCGGGCCATACTATACATATATATCTGACAGATCTTGCCGTGAGTGATTGTCCGGCTGTGTACCTGATTTTCCTATGGGTACTTTATGGCTACTGCATAAAATACAGTGTTTGGAGTTGGAGTTAAAGCCAATGGGCTTATTTGGAACGCAGCTACCATCTTATTTTGGATGACATGTGCAAGTTAGACCAGGGTTTGCAACACTTGAAAAACTGGTTAAATTTAACATGTTTTAGGCACATATAACTAAAAGGTTTAATGTTAACGAGGAAACTTTTTCAAGGTTTACTCTTAACAATAAAATGTAAATGTAAAATAAATTAAATTATTTTTGGAACTCATCATTTGTTTAACAAGTTAGCATTTTGGTTTTGCAAGAAATAATATGCGTTTTTCTAAACCTATATTATAAGTTTTTAAGATAATGAAAAGAACAAATAAACAACAATGAACAATGAACCCAAAAAAAGTGCTTTAACCTTGTGTAATTGTAATCTTTTTGTTGTGGTTTCTTAAAGGTAAATTCCATTTTACATGCGTTTTTCATAGAACTTGGAGCCTAATCCAAACATTATTTCTATATAATTTCCGGGCAAACACTCAACATTTTAAGGCAGTTACGGGAGTTTGTTAGGGACTTGGTTTGGCGGGGGCATAACAACTCACCTTGGGAGCAATCGGGTCCCGTCCAATGGCGCTCGCACACACATTGACCTGTTTCCAGGTCGTAGGTGCCATGCTCGGAGCATCCGGGTAGGCATTGGTACACCTGCTGGTCGATCGTGCCGCAATCCTCGCCCTGCCATCCGGCCTTGCAATAGCATTGTCCGGCGACACAGGTGCCGTGTCCGGAGCACAGGGGATCCAGGCAGTCGTCTTCATGTCCATCGTTATAAACATCATCATCGTCATCGTCGTCGTCATCATCATCATCATGGTCATGGTTCATCATCATCAGTGGGTGTGGGTGGTGGTGATGGTGATGGTGGTGGGTCAGAGGTCAGCGTTTGGCGGTTGGGGTAAGAGAATACAAAACGATTGTTAGTCAACACACAAAACACATGGATGGCATGGGTACAGTGAAAAATGCTTAAGGTGGAGTTGTCACTCCTTCGAATTTCAACTTGCATCCCGCTGTGTATTCGAATTAGTTTTTGGTTCTAGTTAATGCTTGTCTTTCGCTTTTACAAAATGGGAAAGCAATATTCTATTTAGTTGTAAAGAAAAAGAGACTAAAAATGATCTTATTCAACTGACATAAATAAGTTTACATTTATTTATAGCTTGAAATAGTATAATTACATTATACCGTTTGTGGTAGATTTTAGAAGTACGTTTGAAGGAAACTACTCAACGTTTTCCTTTGAAATGTATCAATGTTCCAATTTTTAAAACGATCCTTTTTAGTTTAAGAGCCACAGAAAAAATATATCTGTGTCGAAATTAAATCGACTTTGTAAGCTTTTAATATGGCTTTTTAACTTCTAAAAACATTACTGGAAATGTATTTGAATTTTGCCATTATATATTTTTGAACAGCGAAACAGGATAATTTTCTACAGAGTTTTTACTGTAATTTTGGGGGTGGTGAGGGGAAAAAAGAGTTTAGGGGCAGAAAAAGAGGAGAATATATATATATTTGGTGGGGCAGTGAAATCGTGACAGTCGTGGCTAAACAAAAAGCTCTCCCTCTCTTTCCCCCTAGGTGCCTCCCTCTCGCTCCCTCTTTTGCACACATGACATGATTAGTATGTTAGACACGTACAAAAGTGGTCATTAAAATGAAATTCCAGTTTAGTTCAAGTTGGTAATTTTGCGCAGTTGTTGCAATTTTTCTTTGGCCCGCTTTGTTTTGCTTCTGTTTATTTTGTTTTATTTTATTTTATTTTTCTTCTTTGTTTTTTTGTGTGTTGGCTTTTGGCCATGCTTTTCCGCCCCGCCCACTTTTCCTGTGTGGTCCGCTGATATTTTACTTTTCGTGTTGCCTGCATGTGTATGAGGAATATGCTCTCGACATATAAATTCGATTTTATACGTTTTATGTTTGCTCAACGTTTTTTCGTTTTCCCTGTGTCTTGGTTCCTGTTCTCTATTTATTTTTTTTTCTCATTTTTTGGTCCTGTTTCTGTTTTTGGATTCTGTTTGTTGTTTGTCCCTGTTTGTTTTCGTACGCCAAGGGTCTGATACACACATTGAACTCATACAAATGCGAACAACAGCAGGGACTCACATTCCAAGTGTTGTTGCATGTTGTATATTTTATACGGTTGTTTTTTAAGCCATTTTACACGGGGCATACTGTTTTTCATAGAATTTACATTTAATTTAAGAATTAAAAACATTCTTCTTATGAGTTGTATAAAAAACTGGGGGATTTCTCTTATCTTCAATGCTCCAGCTAAAAATTCCTTAAGCTTTTTAATGAAAATGTGTAAAATGTTGTAAGTATATTGAAACTTTTTAAAGCATTCTGTAATGGAATTTTTTCCTACAATAAATATAATATAATAAATAACATATCACTAAAATTTACCTTTCCCACACAAACTTTTAACAGACGATATCAACTCAAAAACATATATTTTTTGTGTATTTTGGATTATTTAACATTTCGTTGCTTTCTCTTGAAAATTCCCCTTAATTTTCGTTAGTTGCTTTTAGGCTAATTCAAAGTTATCTGAGTCGCGACAAGAGGGGCGAAAAATACAACAAACAAAAAAAAAAACCTAGCGAGAGAGACGGAAAAATTGTTGGCATTTCTTTGCCTTTCGCTTTGTCAATTTAAGGGCCCGGCCCACACACAATAAGCGAGGCCAGAATATTTTTGGCCAAAAGAAGTGCAGACGGAGGAAGAGGAGTAGGTGTCGGCATAATAACTGAAATATTTTGGCATCCACTTGGCTGGGTCGTTGTCTCTCTGAACCAACCTCCAGCCACCCACCTCCCACCGCCTACTTGTCCTTGTCCACTGGCCTTATCGGGCAGTGTCAACATGGAACGGAACCGAGGCTGCCTCCAAATTGCAAACAAGGCAAATAAATAATTTTAGCATTTTTATGCCAAGTCAGCAAAAAAGCTTACACATACGCCAAGAAAAAAAATGAGTCCTCCATTAGTTTTAAAGTTGTCTTAGGTTTAGAAACTTGATAAAAAAATTATTAATATTATTACCATCTTTAAGATAAACATTTGTGAAAAATAATAAATCTGTTTAAATATCAGTTTTTTAAAGTTCCTAAAGTTTCTCATTCATTTGTAGTCTAAAAAGTCTATTTTCAAAAGTATTTTTCAAAGAGAGCTTTGGATACTTTTTTATTTGGAGTCTAGTGGGTGCTATGCTACACAATAAATGTGTAACTTTGAATATTGAACCATAAGCCTAGTTGGGTTGGTATATTTTCTACCTACGTATACAATTTATAAGCAGCCAACTAAATGGATATTTTTTAATAATTAGTCCTAATTTTCCCGAGATATTTTTGGGGTTATTATTGTTTTTTTTTTTTTTTTTTTTGAGTGCACAGGGAAGCGACGAGTCGAGTAGAGTCGAGTCCTTGACACTTACGTTGATCGCAGTAGGGTCCTTTCCAGCCGCGCTCGCAGTGGCACTCGCCCTCGATGCAGCGTCCGTGGCTGGAGCAGTTGGGCACCTCGCACTCGCCCACCGGAATGTCGCACTCGGCGCCCTTCCAGCCCTCCTCGCAGTGGCAGACGCCTCCGCCGTAGTGGCCGTGTGCCGAGCACAGCACCGGACAGACGCCTGTGGAGAGTTGGAGAAAGGAGAAGGTTGTCAGAAAGGAAGGACAGCAGCGAAAAATAAATTCAAATGCCAGGCGACCGCACAGTGGGTCAAGAATCTTGGGGGGACCTGAATCTGACAGATAATTGGAAAGTACTTCCACATTATACAATTTAATATTCTAATCATTTAAAGTCTATGGCAAAATTAAAATCTGAGCCACTGAACTACTAATAATAATAAAATGAAAACGTAAATATAAATATTGAATCCAATTTAAATTACAATATTTGAACTAATTTAGAAAACAAGGGATTTGAAATGGGTTCTACTAGTTTAAAACATTATATTACTTTTAAATTGTTTATTTAAGTTGTACAAACAAATAAACAACACTTTTTAAGCATTTATCGATTGCTCTTTCTGACTTCATTAATAAAGCATTAATTAAAAGTTTCATTAGAATATATAAATGGTAAATTAAGTTAACTCCATGTATTGTGATATGAGTTTTGACTATATATATAAAATGATAAAATTTAATCAAACCCTTAATACAATAAACTAATATGGTATTTAAAATTCATTATAAAGAAAGTGTGATGAATACACGATAAAATAATTATTTTGGGCACCTTTTTGAGTGAATTCGAATGCAACCCACTACTGCCCACTTACTTTTGGAGCAATCCACACCCTGATAGCCATCGATGCAGTCGCACTTGCCCAGGTAGCAGCTTCCCCGGCCAGAGCAATCGTTCGGACAGGTGGTGCTGACGCCCTCGGCTTCCTCGGCGAGCAGGGAAACGGAGTGGGCCACCAGTTCGTCGTTGTAGACCGATATGAACCACAGCCCGGTGTCCAGATATTGCAGCAGCGACACATTCACCGTCATGGCATCCACGTCCAGAGCGGGCAGACCATCGCCGGCGGATCGTTTGTTGAGCCAGTGGCTCTGGGGCTTTCCAATCCGCTGCAGGTGTTGCTTGGCCGTGTCCAGGGGCGTTTCCACATCGTACGACTCACTCGAGTCGAAGCTCCGGCTCTCGTCCTGTTCCGAATCCTGATCCTGGGTCGATTCCGCACTCTGTTGCTCCCGCTCCCTCTCCCGATCCTGGCCATACAGTTCCACATCCTGGCCGGCTATCGAAGAGTGTGGGGATGATGTGCCATTGGAGCTGCGGCGATGTCTCAGATGACTGTCCAGTCGACCGCCCTTGATGAACTCCACGAAATCGTGCTGCGTCACCGATGGCGCCACATTGCGACGCGAATAGACCGCAAAGTGGGCGCCCCAGGGCAGAGTGAAATTGAATCTAATGAATGCGGGATGTTTGTTGCGGAATTCCAGGGTCCAGAACTGATAGGCGGGTATGGTGGCGTGGTAGGCCTCATTGAACTCCTTCAGCTCCACCACACCGCCGAGTTGGGGCTGCAGCGCCTGATGGTGGTGGCCATTGGACAGACCGCCCGGCTGTTGCATCAACTGACCACCCAGTCCGCCGTTCAGAGCGCCGTTCGGTCCACCACCGACCATGGCACCACCGTAGGTCAACTGGTGGTGATCCTGCAGTTGCGTATTGGTGGCATCTAGCGGCGTGAGCGGTTGGTTGATCGAGTGCGGCTGTTGTTGCTGCAGGAGTAACTGCTGCTGGATGCCCAAATTACTGGCTCCGTTTGCTCCACCCGCCGCTGGATTCAGCAGGCCATGGACTCCGTTCGGGCCGTGGTCCGAGGTGCTGGTCTGGATTGATTCCTCCGTGGGAAAGGCCGTGGCCACGCCCTTCTCGTTCGCCTTGCCCCCCAATCCGCCCCGCAGATCGTGCGGCTGCGACTTGACGTCCTGGACTAGGATGCAGTTGGTGCTGTCCATGTTCGGCTTCATCGAGCTGACTGCTGCAAGTGGACAGAGAAAATATCTTAGTTAGCAAAGGCTTTCACGAAAATTATTATTATTAATCGGTTTGGAATACAATAACCTCAATTTATTTTATTTTAATTTTATTTTTGATTGAAAAAATCTCGCTCTATATTTTATTTTATATTATAAAGTTGCTGACCAGTTTTAAAGATAAAAGTTTATGAAATAAGTGTTTTAAAAGCGTGTGCTGTTTTATTCTCAATACCACAATATCCACTTTAATTAATTCAAAGAAGTCCATTAATTATTTATTTCTTAATCCTCCCAAATACTTTTCTTTTAAGAATGTTTTAGCGCTTTATTAAAATATCTGATATTATAGCCATGACAGCACATATTCCACTTGAAATTTTTGTTATTTCTTCTGTTTTGAATTAATCAAACTTAATTCTGAGATTTTTTCTTTAGCCGTCTTATCTGCCGACAGAAAGTGCAATTAAAGCTCCGATTAGGGGTCATCGCCTGGTTGGAATACCCAAACTATATCCTGGCCGTTCGTCTTCTGTTTCAGCTTTGCCTCTTGGCTGGATTTTCGATTCGGCTTGGCCAAATGTGCGCCCATAAATCGACAGACAGAGAGGGATATACGCAGGACGAAAGAGGGGGAGCGGGATGGCGATATGCTCACAGTGCTGGCCATAAATCTGGTCCTCATGCTGCCATTCTGGCCAAGAGAATCGCAATAATGTCTTCTGTGGTGCTGTAGTTGGTGGCTTCAGCTGCTGCACCGCCCTGTTTTTCACACATAAATTTTGGCATCATATTTTAACGCCATATTAATATGCACACGAGAATAAATCAAAAACTACCCCCAGCCCCCTACATGACCCCTTGACCCCACTACCAAGCTTACACACGCACACACACATGGACACAAAGTGGCCGTTGTTAACACGTTTGCATTTTGCTTTTGGACAGCGGCAAAAGGAGAGTGGACGGGGGGCTTTCAGCTTCTGGCTATCGTTTATCGATAACTATGGATGGCGATTTATGGCCATTGGCAGTGGGAATGCGGCGCCAGCAGGTCCTGGCCACCAGGACATCCAGTACAGAAGGCAGTCAAATGATTGAAGGACTCGTTGGCGCTCAGGACTCGGGCCACAAAGAGTTAAACAAGTGCGGGATGAGAACTTTCCATTGCAGACGCAAGTCTTAAAAGCTTCACAGCTTATTTTATAATTTTTATTTTAATACATTGAAGAGTTTCACAATGTAAAACAATATCAACCGGTTTCTTTCTCTCAACAATTTCACATGTAATAAGAACACTGCAATATCTTTGATCATTATCACCTTTAAAATATTCAACAATTGTATAATAGGATTCTCTATTTTGTTCTGCTCTTAAAATACAGCACCGATATTCCACCAATCACCGTTTTCCCAAAGCGCAAATCAACTCACTTTGAGCCAGCATTCCAAGGACCCGAAAACCAATGCAAGCAATTAACCTTCCCCATTCATATCGATCCAAATTATGTTAATGGGGCGTCCTATTTCGATGCTATATATAGAGTGTGTACAGTGCGAACTACTACACAAATAAATACAGAAGCACGAGAACGTGTGGATCATGAAGATATGAAAAATGGTACAAGTGCTGTTGTCAGTTTGACGTGAATTACGTTGCTTGTTCCCATTGTTAGTCCAATTCCAATTCCAATTCCAATTCCAATTGCGGACACTTGACAGGACACAAAACATTTCGTTGACATGTAAACTAATACACGGCAGGGGAAATAATGAGGAAAAACTGGGCAACTGAGTCCAACGAAAAGGGGAACAAATATAAATGGGGCTAGTGTCATTAATAAATTAAGAGCCCAGTCGGCCCGGTTGGTTCTATTAAGTTAACAAGCTTTTCGTTCAAGTGTCCTGTCACCCCCTGCCATCCCATTAGTAAACAATCCAGGACCCATGCTGGTGGAAATTTTTCTTCGTCCTGGGTTGGGTTTCCTTCCACTCGATTCGATTCGAATCGGGTTTCCTTTTCGCTCCGTTGTTTTTCGGGCACCAATTAAATTTGATTACAATTTGTTGCCCCATGGCCAAGAAGCCCCGACATCCATCCATTACCACCCCCACGTTTTATTCTCACTAATGATTATTTAGTTAGTTTTTATTCCGCAAGTCGAAGTCAAGAAAAAGATGAATAGATTTTTAGCTCTATAAGCTAGTTTTCTACGAATGCACAATGAACAAGAAAGAAAGCAAACTTCGGCAAGCCGAAGTTCATATACCCTTGCAGCTATTGCATGAATTAAATACTTTTGAAAACATTTAAATTATGATTTACTTCAGTATATACTGAAAAACAGTGAAGCTATGATGATTTGCAGCTCAATTATTAGATAGTTATTTTATATATTTTTATTAGTTCTATGGGAGCTATATGATATAGACGTCCGATTTTGATAAAATTTAAACCATAATTCTGAAATAATTAAACATTGCCATATGTCGAAGAACTAAACAAAAAATTAAAAAACAGAAAAGTTATAATTTTTTTCATTTATTTCTCCGATTGTTCCTATGGGAGCTATATGATATAGTCGTCCGACTTTGATGAAATTTAAACCGTAAATCGAAAATATTTAACCATTACTAAATGTCGAAGAACTAAACAAAACATTAAAAAACAGAAAAGTTATAATTTTTTTTCATTTATTTTTCCGATTGTTCCTATGGGAGCTATATGCTATAGTCGTCCGATTTTGATGAAATTTAAACCGTAAATCGGAAATATTTAACCATTACTAAATGTCGAAGAACTAAACAAAAAATTAAAAAACAGCAAAGTTATAATTTTTTTTCCTTTATTTTTCCGATTGTTCCTATGGGAGCTATATGCTATAGTCGTCCGATCCGGCTCGTTCCGACTTATATACTACCTGCAATAGAAAGACAACTTTTGGGAAAGTTTCATGCAGATAGCTTTAAAACTGAGAGACTAGTTTGCATATAAACGGACGGACAGACGGACAGACGGACAGACGGACATGGCTAGATCGACTCGCCTAGTGATGCTGATCAAGAATATATATACTTTATAGGGTCGGAGATGTCTCCTTCAATGCGTTGCAAACTTCTGACTGAAATTATAATACCCTCTGCAAGGGTATAAAAATAATAAATATCTACATAATATTATAGTTGCCTTTTATAATTTAAAAGGTAAACATATTCATCGATTGTAGAATACAACATTATTATGACTGGTAAAATTCTTAAGCTTCACATCCGCAAAACTTTTTTAGAATAATTGACAACAAAATTGAAAAAATGTGCACTTGATACCCAAATTGATATTTAACTATTAAATAAGTATAAAAATAAATTGATTGATTTATCAAATCATATTTGAAATAATATAACATTATTTTTCGCAGTACACCTACATCATTAGTGTGACACATGCCCAGCCCCTCGATTTTCCTCGATTTTTCCCCATTTAAAAGGGGGTTTAGATGTTGAACCACTCCTTTGCCTTTATTTTTAGACCCACTCGAGTTCTGCTCCAGTTGCTGGCTCAAAGGGTGTGCAACGGATGTGTTCGATTAATTATTTCCGCCCCTCGCCCGGGAAGTGGGCAATAACTTTAGAAGCTTTCCTCTCCACTTTCGAATCCAGGGCCATGAATTAAAAAATTCTCATTCTCATTCTCGTCCTCATCCTCGCCTAATGAGACACATCGTCAGGCTTTTGGCCAGGAGACTACTAGGACTTTTTGCCTAATTGCTCCTGCCGGGCTGGAAAACTAGGGCCGACCAAAAACTAACGCCGAATAACCATGTCCATGTCCAAGCCGTCCAGTGTCAGGGTCAGGCAAAAGTTACAACGGCTGGGAAATTTATGAAACATTTTCTTAATTGCACTTCCTTGAGGAAAATAATTTATTTAAACGACATGCGCACACCTTTCGGAGCAAAGGCGAATGGAGAAAGCAGAAAGGAGAAAGGAGAAAGGAGCACGCCCTGCGGCCATTACATCTGAATGTGACAAATGTCCTTTTGCAGGCGTGTGTGTATGTGTGTGTGTTTTGTGTAATTTAAATTGAAATGTCGTCTTTCGATATGTTTTTATGCCGCTTTTCAATGAGCGATTTTAGGAAATTTGTTTGTGGTCTACGCATTAATTGAAACCAGCTTGTTTTTCTTCGTTTTTCACCAACATTCTTCGGAATTTTCTTCTGCTAATTGACTTTCTTTGTTGCGGTTGTGCGTGACGTTCGCATTTCCGGATGATTGGCCAGCCGCCCTCCCATTGCTGCCACGCCCCCCTGTTTTTCCCATGTTTTTCTCATGTTTTTTCCCCCAGCCCTGAAAAAGGAAACACGAAATGCGAGCAGGACAATTTCCGAGTGCTTTGCATAATTCGTTAGGCGCAAAAGGAAACCGCAGAAAAATGAACAATTCCATTCACTAATTGGCAGCTCGGTACAGTGAAGCCCCCATTGATTGAACGATGTAGCCTTCGTTTGTTGTTGTGCATTTGACAGGACACATTGCGGTTGAAGAGGGGGGCTGAATTTGTCTATGGCGAAATTGAAAAATAGCCAAGCCAAAAGTCAATTACTGAGAAAGTCATGAGAGTTGATACTCGCAGAAAGTACACATACACATACACAGTACGTATAAAATGTGCAAAAGTTTGTTGTTTTGCTTTTAGGATATTAGTTTATAGCATTTTTTCTTCATTAAACATTGGGATTATTTGGCCACGTTATATAAAATATCTTTGTGATGAACTTTTCGTTTAAAAAGTATTGTTTTTAAGACCTATTTCCCAAGAATATCTTTTATTTCTTTGGGGGATGTATATTTTTAGTTCGAAACGGATTCATCACGAAAAGTATCGTAATATTTTTCATAGCATACTTTTGAACACCTTTAAAAAATATTTTAAGACTCTAGCGTTTTCTGTGGCCTCCATTTCTAACGTTTACCGGCCTTGTGATCCGTTCAATTGAACGCGC